TGACAACATTATTTTCAAACTATCAAAATGGCATGTCCATCCAATACGCAGTTCTAAAAACACATCAGTTTCAGACATGTCTTAGTTATTGTTGCCCTGTATTTTTCTCCCAGAAAGTTGGCTTTCATTGTCAGTTTGCCTGGAAGACCTGTCTATGCTGTAGTTGTAATGAGGTTGGCATAATTTACAACTGTTGCAACAGATTACCTGCTCAATGTGCTCAACTTTCCTATTTCCATAAATGATCCCCCTTGACATTTGTTATCTGCACCAAATGTCCTGTCTGACGTCCCCTTCGTGTCCTGACCTTTGTATCCTCGGGAATGCTCGCATCACAGACACCGTGGTCAGACAACTCTCATTTATTGTTTGTGAACCGGAAATGCTTTGGGGGGATGACTTGAAAGAAATATGGCTACCGGACACATGGTCAATGTCTGTTCGCTGTTGCTGTTGATCTGCTCTTGCATGCGGTCGCTGACACAAAGAAAACATTTCCATTGTAGATTGTATGAAGAGGTGGGGATGGTAAGTGACCTACACCTTGTATAAGATCGTAATAATTATGTGCTAATTGCGAACCAACACAATAATATATTTGAAATAATTATGTGTATCAGCCAAAACAAAAGCGAACTTGATTAGTTGAGGGACGGGATGGTGCTCAGCCCATATGTATGTTGTATCATGTCTGTGTGTATGTCTCTGTGTATGACAGTCTTTATGTAGATGCTGTGACTGTGGAAGTTGTATGGGTGTGTGTCGTCTGTGTGTGCGTCTGTCTTTGTGTAAATGTTGTGTCTGTGTATGTTGTATGTTGTATCTTGTCTGTGTGTATGCTTGTGTGTAGGTCTATCTTGAGTAGATGTTGTGTCTGTGTATGTTGTATGTTGTATCTTGTCTGTGTGTATGCTTGTGTGTAGGTCTATCTTGGTAGATGTTGTGACTGTGCATGTTGTATCTGTGGGTGATGTCTGAGTGTATGTCGTGTTTCTGTGTAGATGTTGTGTCTGTGTGTGTCTGTGTGTGTGTGTGTGTCTTTATTTTTCTTTTGTGGTTGGTGTGGGGAGGGGGGATGTTGTGTATGTGTATTTGGTCAAATTGTATGTGTTGCGTCTGTATGTGTATATGTGTTTTCTCAGTGATTTTGTGTATGATTATGTATGCGTCTGTTTAGGCTGTTTGTGTGATACCAAAGTGTGCGCCTCAGTGTGTAAGGGTGAATATTCGCGCTTGTGTGTGTGTGCGTGTGTGTTTGCGATGTGTGAGTATTTTGTGAACGTATCTTTGAAGGTATCATTTGTCATCCAGCCTTTGTATTTTTAAACCTAATTTATACAATAAATGTTGATATATGAACAAATTATGCCCGATTTTAACAAATGAAACTGCCTTATGAAAGACGAATGCTTGGAAGGTCCTTATGAAAGACGAATGCTTGGAAGGTCCTTATGACAGACGAATGCTTGGAAGGTCCTTATGAAAGACGAATGCTTGGAAGGTCCTTATGAAAGACGAATGCTTGGAAGGTCCTTATAAAAGACGAATGCTTGGAAGGTCCGAAAGTAAGATTGGCCAGCGTGTCCAAGATGTAAGCCTTGGGTAATAAAGATCGTTCGTTCCCTCCTCTCAGAATTTAGTTTCCTCAGATTCCTAAAGTGTTTTGTCTGAAGGTCCTGGGTTCGAGTTCTCATTGAGTTTTATTTGTAGAAAAATGATCCTGGCTCTGAGATCGACCATTACGAAAATGATTACAGGGAAATATCCTGGGAAATAAAAGCAGAAGGCTCTTTAATTAATTATGTTAATCTTTAAATGTCGTCTGCTGTATAAAAGTATGGGTCTGTCATTGTATAGCAAGTGCGTGAACCGGTCAAACACTTGATGTTTATTTTACTTGAACGCCTGTCGTTAATTTGTCCAGACTCCCATGTCGCGTAAGCTTTAGGCTCTACGTACCATATGAAAAAACTATGTGGATGCTTCGAGCAGAGTGGTAAGCTTTGCTTGGAAGGTCACGGGAAGTGTGCATACTTTGGATCTTTTCTCCAGACAATGCAGGCGTAATGGGTAATGAATAGGCAGACAGATTGGCTGAATCTGCAACACTGGGTGGTGAATTGATTCAAGAAAAGGCAGATGGGGCCAGGGCTCTTTGAGATCAAGCAACGGAATCAGCAGAGGAACAAAAATATGATGGTCTGGGTGGCTCACTAAACGCAGAGGAAAGGCAAGACAGACATATCACTTTAGTTTTGTAAACTTTCTCTATCTCCCTTTGGGCACCATGTGCCACAGAACCATTGTATCCTGCCTCCCCACCCCCTTCTCTTCCCCCTACCTCTTCCTGACCTTTCCTTAGACTTATCCGTGAGTTTGGTGACGTCATTTTTTGTTTACCTGAGACATCAGATCTGTCATTTACGGAGAGACATAGTTACATAGTTATAAAGATAACACCCTTCAAAGAAATTATAACAGCACAGCGTTATCGCCACAATGTGTCCCCGAGCGTTGTGAGGGCACTCTTGACTGATATAAGTATTTTTACGTCCTTTTTTAGGATGTAATTTTTCGTTATTTGAAGCCCTACTCTGAGTCTTGCCAGGGGCCGCAATATAGCAAGGCCATAAATATGGCCTAAAGGCTAAACACGGTTTCAGGGACCTCTCCACGGTGATCCTCACCCACATGGTGGCACTTTGTGTCATCGGGTGTTTATCGCTTTTGTGATGTCCTGGTGGGGTAGAAAGTCAGTCAGTCAGTCAACATTCTTGACTTTGAGAAAACAAACATTCATGCAGACTTCGCATTTTCTGTTACATGTTACTGTTAGAAACAAGTCTTGAAGTGATTAATGTTCGTCTCTCCATCTTTCATGCGCTCTTTATCTCGGCCTCTTTCTTTCTCTCCTTCATGAATGTCAGGTTAACGTGCGTGCCCAATTCGTCGCCAATTAAAAATAAAGGTTTGTTCATTCGTTCGTGTGTTCGTTCCCTGCCATTTTGTTTACCTGGGACCTTGTTTTGTGTTCGAGAGGGGCGGGTTTTTACGAAGGCCTCTCACGATTTGCCACTTCCTCCACTTGCAGAAAAGAACTGCCTCCCCAGGAAACACACCCCATCAAGGATGCCAGGCATGTTCCGTGACCCGGAAGCAGAAACATGACAACCGGAATGCTAATCTGATGACGTTTAGCGGGGCAGTGGGGAAGAGATGGTTGTTTCTCTACAGGTCTCCCGTGTCTCTATCGATGCTGTAACTTTGTTGGCGTCCTGCTGTTTGACTACTCCCCTAGACAAAGGATAGAAACACGGGGGAAGAAGTACTTACACACACACAGAGGCAGTTAGCTGTGTAGGCAGGTAGACTGATAGACAGACAAAGGCACAGACATGTAGCCAAGCAGCTCAACAAATATACATACAGAAGGTCAGACTGCTGTGAGTAAATGTTTCTCAGCTTGTGTACTTATTGTCCATGTTTTACATGCATAGAATAACATAGGTTCTACATTCAAAGCTAACATGTTTTCTCCTGCAGGTGATATTTCCTCTGCCGTGAGAATCTATTGCATCAGGGTAGAGGACAACTCTGACATGGTGCTACTGATTCTGACTTCTGCGAGGCATCTTGCATCAGATTGTGTGACTGTTCTTAAAAAGGCGAATCACTGAACTCGCTCCAGAATGTTGCCGTTTCCGTGTATGTCACACTTCCGTATTTCTTTCTTTCCGGTGATGACACGAAATTCCGTTTTCTTACAGTCTAACTCTAAACGTGAACTATTACTGCATCTACTCAACACTGCAGATATTCTTTGTCGTCTGCAAATAACACCGTATCCCTGGTATATCTTGTACTATTGATGCTACATCCACCCATGTTAATTCCCCTCAGTCTTTCAGATGTCGCTTTATATTTTCACCACATAAGGTAAACAGGTCTGGAGACATTACACATCCTTGTCACAAATGTCTGTTGATTGGTTGTTACACATCTACGTCATTATACATTTTATGTAGCAACATATTGTATCCAGTCTATGTTCTTAACCAGCCCTAGGTATTGACGACCAGTTTGTAGCTACAATAAATAAGCAGTCAAAGAAACAAAAAAATTAGGGAAAGAACTATTTTTCAAAGTTTCACAAATTGGTCACGCAGACTCGTAAACACATTTGGACTGGCAAACACTGCATTAATTGAAGATGGCCGGCCCATGGATCACACAGACATTGTCATTGCCCTTAGAGAGATAATACGCTCTGAGGATTTTGGAAGCAGCGTGTCCACATCACTTCTAAGAATACGTGAATTGGGAGTAAAGATTGGCACAGCCAAGCATGAGAAGCACACTAGACGCACACGAAGTCTTGTTAACGAACATAGGACTGGTACTATTAACCGACCGACGCTGATGAATATGTTAAGAGGGTAATCTGATGGATGTGTCCAGAGTGCTGTAATGATACTCTAACTCATAACTCAAACACATTTGGCCCTTCAAATCGCTCGTTTGTCGCACTGCATATCAACGAGAAGACCGACAGGCAGGCAGGTAAATGAATGGATGATTGTATAGACACTATGCTAGTTGTAGTTGAAGCTTTTCGGCCACAGGATGACCCCATAATTGGCCCTCTGTTATGCCAGTGAAATCCACACAGAATGCACATGACTGTCTCTTTCGTTGACGGAAGCAGCAGTTACAACGAATCAGTTGCTGCACACGCCATATTGTATGACCAAATAAATATATGGAAGGATGAATGGATGGATCAATCACAGGGACAGACAGACGGACAGACAGAAAGGCTGGCAGAGATACAAACAGACAAACGGACGGACAGACTGACAGACAAGCATGTAGACATACAGGCAGGCCGACGAACGGACAGACATACAGATATGGACTGACAGACAGACGAGCGGACAGACAAATAGATGGACAGACAGACGGGCGGACAAACAGAGAGACAGACAGACTGTTGCACTTACACATGGCATCTCCCAGCAGCCATATCTCGTTGAAAAAGAACTCCAGCAAGGCAGACGACTGACAGATGAGCAGCACTAGAAGGTCGGCCACCGAGAGATTCATCAGACAAAGGTTGGTGGCGGTCTTCATCTCACGAACACACAGCACCACGATGATCACCAGCAGGTTGCCCGTCACACCCACTAGGAACACCAGGATGTTGGCGATCGTCACCCACACCTGTCGATGCATTGCAACATCTGTCATATTGAGTCATTGCTTCCATGCTACGACCACACACACACACATGTGTATATATATATATATATATATATATATATATATATATATATATATATATATATATATATATATATATATATATATATATATATATATATATATAATTTGTGGAGTCTTAATTCACTTTGCCAAATGTGAAAACCTGAAGTGCGTGACTTCGTCAACAAAAGTGCTGTATACAAAGGTCCTTATATTCGTTACCGAAACCACTGCGATGGTGTTGACATCACAGCACTAGGCCTATCCATGCGTGCTCCGTCCTTATCATCAGCAGCCAGAGCAGAGTTCCAGTACTAATGTAACCGGTTTTAATCTGGTTATATATCCGTCTTGCCCTTTCCATGAGTGTAGTGGGTCAGCCAGACCCTCTGGTTACACCCAGGTGACTCATTCTCTCCAGGCCATAATGATCTTGTTTCGCTTCTGACTTTGTTGCTTGTTTCCTATGGCCCTAACCTCATTTGCCCTGTCATCTATCAATTCACCTGTCAGTCTGTCTGTCTGTTCATTCCTCACCACGCCAGCATGTTTTAGAGAAAAGATCCAAAGTATTCTCACTACCCGTGACCTTTCCAGTGAAGCTTGCCACTCTGCTCGAAGCATCCCTGTCTTCCCTTGCTCAGCATGCTTTCAGTGTCTGTTACAATTCTCTAGCCACCAGAAAGCTGCAGTGCCGCCCCACCTCCATTCTCATGATAGACGTGCTGGTATCGTTTGCTAGGTTGTCTTGCACTGAAGATCTGCTATTGGCTTTTGCCACCAACTCGCAGGCACTTCTCTCTCCTTTCAACACCGAACCATCTGTATAGATAATCAGATCACCTGGGCGCGAATTGCAGTGAATCAACTGTTGGATTTTCATACCCTTAGCAGCCGATGGAAACTCTCTGCACTTCCGTCACAATGTGATCATATCCCTACACAGGTCAGACTTTTCCGCTGGTACTCTGACCCACTCCTCTCCTCGCCCAGTGTTCTCCAGCATCCATACTTGTCTTATTGTGTCTTCTGCTTGAGCCATCCATGACTTTCCCATTTTAGCCTCTGACATTTACCTGTAGCTAAAGCTTCATACAGGGGGTGTTTTTTTTACCTGTAGCCAAAGCTTCATACAGGGGGTGTTTTTTTTACCTGTAGCCAAAGTTTCATACAGGGGGTGTTTTTTTTAATCTGTAGCCAAAGCTTCATACAGGGTTTTTTTTTTTTTTACCTGTAGCCAAAGCTTGAGACACTGGGTGTTTTTTATCTGTACCCAAAACTCCGGGGGAGTTCTTTGCATTGGTCTGACGCTGTTCCCAGGAAGTTGAAAAGAATCAGTGAAATGGTCATTATAACAATCGATGGAAATGTCCAGCATGTGCTTCAAGGCATGGCTCCACCTCGTCTCCTCGTGTTTACAAATACTTTGAGCAATGTGTCTGTTGTTATCTCCTGAATGGTGATTTTATCTGGACTTCAGTTCTTTCTTTCGCTGATAACACCATCCGTCTGCTGCTAGGAATAGACCCGGGTCACTGTCTTGGCATGCGGGGACTCTAATCTCTAGACCACCACGAGATTTTCCACACTATCTAGTAGATTAGGATGTAGGCTAACGGGCAAGGCTCGGGTTGAGGTCTGGAGCTTTCTCTAGAGAGACCAGAATCAACGTAGACTGTCAGATGTAGGTCCGCGTGCAACAACATCACTGACATCATTCCATCACAGAATGTTATCGAGTCACGTCAAGTAATCTGCGCGCTGATAGTTCAGAGGGATAAGAAAGTTTGGTGGGAAATTAAAAGAAACTGACTCGGGAAGCACAATTGGGGACAAAGGGGTGAGGGAAAACTTCAATAACGGATGTGTGCAAGCCGGGACTAAAATCAAGGTTGGCTGTATTCGTGGCCATCGGCATAATAATGACAGAAATTGTGGTGGTGACAGCAGCAGTAGTAATGGTAGCGATGTGGGTAATAGCAGCGACAGCAAAAAGCAAATAGCAATCTCAGCAGCTGTAGCAGCATTTGAGAGGCTGGCGGTAACATCAGCAAGAGTACCAACAGTAGCAATAGTAATAGTAGCAACTGCAGCAGCAATAGTGAGGCTGGCGGTAATATCAGCAAGAGTACCAACAGTAGCAATAACAATCTCAGCAGCTGTAGCAGCAGCAGTGATGCTGGCGGGAACATCAGCAAGAGTACCAACAGTAGTCTCAGCAGCTGCTACAGTAGTAGCAATAGAAGTAGTAGTAGCAACCTGATGACCAGGCTTACCAGGGGCAGTAGGAAGATGATGGTTGTGATGATGGTGATAATGCTGATGATGATGATGGTGGTGATGATGACGATGTTGATGATAATGATGATGGTGAAGAAGATGAAAATCAAGGATAGAATCTCTCTCCATATAGGCCTGAACAATATTTGAAGGAAAAATCATGAAATACAAGACACAGAAATATCAGCCATCTAGCAGGTCCTATTCTATGGAAGCATCTACCTGGTCGTTGTCAGTCAATCTACATCGGGTCTAGCTTGCCAAGTTTAATGATTCTTCAGTAAGTGTGCCTACTATAGTGCTGGTCGATCCCTACCTTCTTTTTTTTTTTTCTATTGTTCAGAGACAAGATACTGTTTCTGTTTACGAACTGTTCTTTGATGTCCCAATCTGTTAGACAGTGTGTAGCTTTTGACTAAATCTCATGTGGTATTTGAAGAATTTACTGGCAACATTTAAGTTAAGAAGATCAGATGTTGGTATTTTGTGATTTGTGAAACTTCACCGCGACTCACACCGTTCGTTATGTCGACATCGGAAATGTACGTGTTGTGAAGCAATTATTCATTTGTTTGTTTTTAAAGTGCTGTTGTGTTAAATAGCCATTACATGGGCGCCGGAACCTGGGGCTAAGGAAACTACAGCCTCATTCCGATTATTTTGGGGACAGAAAAGGGGAGGGGGGGGGGGGGACATCTTGTTCTGTCCCAGTAATTCTGTGGCTTCCTTTCTAACAGGTTTTTTTTTTTTTAAATATTTTGAATAACCTATCTGTTGTTTTTTTTTTTTTTTAAGTACAGTAAACCTGCTTTTAACCGTCTGCCATTTTTTTTAAGTCTTCAAAAACCATGAGCTGTTAACCCTTTGGCTCGGTAATATTGCTGTTGCAACTTTTCGGCTTTGATTTCATGATAGGTACAGCAAATCTGGGAGAAATGTGGCTTTTCTGCCTGCCCCCGGGCGTGAACCAGGACCACAAGGAGTTCGTCACCCCGTCACCGCGAAGTCAGGTTTAACTAACTACACTAGTAGGCCGTATGCTATTACCTGTCACTTGCTCATTATCCACCACCGTAACAGAAAGTGTGCCAGTATCAACAAACGGACATCTAGAAAAGTGTCCACGACGTTAAAGAATGAGTTCCTAACCAAAACCCTTTAACTAGCCACTCGGACAGAGAAACAATGTTATCAAAGTTCATCAACAGGTTTAAACTGCAAGAGGAGGCAAAAGCAACACAGATCCTACTTTTGTTGAAGACACAGAACATGGCGGCGCAGAAAGTTCCATACTCAAAGACAGATGACAGATTATTTTAAAATAATTTATGTTAATAGTATTACATTACATTTCTGTAGATTACTGTTATGATAGTGAAGTTTATTTCGATCATTTTATAAAATGAAATATACTATACCTATTATTAAACGTATTATTCACTTTGAAAGGATTTTAGTTTCATGTTCGTGTCAAGCATGCAGTGACATCACGTGACTGTATAATTTTAAAAGATTTCTGTTATCCGTCTATTCCGTTATCTGTTATCCGTCTCTTCCGTTATCTGTTATCTATTTCGTTATCTGCTATCCGTCTCTTCCGTTGTTGTCTATTTCGTTATCTGTTATCCGTCTATTCCGTTATCTGTTATCCGTCTCTTCCGTTATCTCTTATCTGTCTATTTCGATATCTGGTATCTGTCTATTCCGTTATCTGTTATCTGTCTATTCGGTTATCTGTTATCAGTCTATTATGTTATCTGTTATCTGTCTATTCCGTTATCTGTTATCTGTCTATTTGGTTATCTGTTATATGTCTATTCGGTTATCTGTTATCTGTTTATTCTATTATCTGTTATCTTTCTATTCGGTTATCTGTTATCTGTCTATTCCGTTATTTGTTATCTGTCTATTCGGTTATCTGTCTATTCCGTTATATGTTATCTGTCTATTCGGTTATCTGTCTGTTCCGTTAACTGTTATCTGTCTATTCCGTTATCTGTTATCTGCCTATTCGGTTATCTGTTATCTGTCTATTCGGTAATCTGTCTATTCCGTTATCTGTTATCTGTCTGTTCGGTTATCTGTCTATTCCGTTATCTATTATCTGTCTATTCCGTTATCTTTTATCTGTCTATTCCGTTATCTGTTATCCGTCTATTCGGTTATCTGTTATCTGTCTATTCGGTTATCTGTTATCTGTCTATTCAGTTATTTGTTAACTGTCTGTTCGGTTATCTGTTATCTGTCTATTCGGTTATCTGTTATCTGTCTATTCCGTTATCTGTTATCTGTCTATTCGGTTATCTGTTATCTGTCTATTCGGTTATTTGTTTACTGTCTATTCGGTTATCTGTTATCTGTCTATTCGGTTATCTGTTATCTGTCTATTCCGTTATTTGTTATCCGTCTATTCGGTTATTTTTTTATCTGTCTATTCGGTTATCTGTCTATTCCGTTATCTGTTATCTGTCTATTCGGTTATCTGTTATGCGTCTATTTGGTTTTTTGTTATCTGTCTTTTCGGTTATCTGTTATCTGTCTATTCCGTTATTTGTTATCTGTCTATTCGGTTATCTCTTATCTGTCTATTCGGTTATCTGTCTATTCCGTTATCTGTCTATTCCGTTATCTGTTATACGTCTATTCGGTTATCTGTTATCAGTCTATTCGGTTCTCAG